CGTCTCCCAATCAGAGGTTCGATATCATCATCACTATCTTTACTTTATCTACTGCTGCTCTGAAGAGTTCTATAGAACTGGATTTAAACCAGTCCCTTGAATTCTTCAACAATGACACTCTCCTTCTTTCTAGACTCCTTCCTCCTCTTATCTTTTCCTGTATTATCAACCTTAGGAGTTCATATCGCTGTCCCCTGATTACGTGTCCCAGATATTGAAACTTTCTTATTTTTATTGTGTTTATTATTTCGCATTCTTTGCCCATTTCTCGCAATATTTCCGTGTTAGTTTTCTTCTGTGTGCATGCTATTCTAAGCATCCTCCTGTAACTTATTTAGTTCAAAGGACTGTAACTTATTTATGTGTTCTTGCTTCAATGTCCAGGTTTCAAGTCCATATTGCAGTATCGAAAACACGTAGCATCTCAGTGCTTTTACTCTCAGTTTTAATCTAAGGTCTTTATTGCAGATAACTATTTTCCTTTTTACTGAAACATTTTGTGCTATTTCTAAATTGACTCTTATTTCGGTTGTTTGATCATTATTGTCTGAAATCCAGGTTCCTAGGTATTTGTATTATCAACCTTTTCTATCGGTACATTTCCCAAATGTATGTTTGTTGGTATATTTGTTTTATTTGTTATTATCATGTATTTGGTCTATTTTATATTCATTTTTAGTCCATATTTTTCACAGAAACTGTTTGTTTTGTTTAGCAGTAATTGAAGTTGTTGAGCAGAGTAATATTACACAATATTACTAAAAATATAATCGGAAGAAAAAGTCACGGAAAGCCGTTATACTACGGTTGACTTCAATCCCAAAGTAGTCAAAGGGAAATTCGAAAATTTGATTGGAGAACATGGTCTGGACTAGATGTTTGTTAATAATAAAATTGATATCTTAACCGATTATTGGTTTATTAAAATAACTGCATTTAAGAGAAGAAAAGTTCGAATAATTTTAAAATTCTTCGTCACTCGTCTATGAAGTTACGTTGGAGAAACATACCAACCTTTATGCACGAAGCTGGGAGAAGCAAAACTTTTGAATAAAAGTGTATTATCAATTATCGATTTTAAGTGTTTTACCTGATTAATTCTAATTATTTAATTAATTATACATTTTTAAATAACCCATTAACGAAAAAACTATAAAAAATTGCTAGAATTGTGTTTCGGTTATAATTTCTGAGAAAATATTGTTAAGATATCAGTAAATGGTTTTATAATGTCAAATTCTAATTCTCGAATACTTTAATAATGATGAGGATAAATTAATGATACAGCTCATAGCTATATTTGTTTTTCAGTATTTTTGAGCTCCATAAAAATTTTTGTTAAGATACAAGTTAACGTTTTCCTAATATTATTATTGTTCTTGTTCTAGAATAAGTGTGAGAATAAAGAGACCTGGTGGTGGTCAAACGAAGTTCAAGAAAATATAGAAGAAAAGAGAAAATTATGTAAACGTCAGTCAACACTGAGGAGTAGGCAGATTGAGGCGTCAGTGCCGTATGACGGTTTTTGTATTCATTCAGGTCTGAAAAATAGTTGGGACAAGGTACTCAGTAAGTGGCAGAGGAAAAATCCCAAAAGAAAAATTCCTAAAGAAATATTTGTACAAATGATAACCAGTTAGCACATGAAATACCTAGGATTAATATTATTAACGGATTTAAATCCATAGGAACTTTGATGCCGATAAACAAGGTCCTAACAGAGATGAAATTTCTACATCAATATTCAAAAAAGATGATTTGCTTAGGTATAATATTAATCTTTCCAATCCACCAATTACGAAGCTTTAAGTAATTATTCTTCTACTTCAGATTATGAACCAACATTTTCAGACCAAGATCATGTCGTTGCTGATAGATATTTAACAGAAACCACCTTTTCACAACAGGTGATTTTTTATCATAACAGGCAAAAGAAAATTGGCAAGGATCTATAAAATACAAGACAAAGTGGTATGCCGTGAAATGTATATTAAACCGTTTAACATTACAACATTTGGAGTTAATACTGCCCTAAAGAAATTTAAAGGTGAAATTTCTTTATGGATGAAAATAAACTTCCAGAAGCCAAAATTCAGGAAGTAATTGAACAAATTAAGATAATTCCAAAATATTATTCTCAATATCGTAAAGAACAAACAAGCGCTGAATTTTTTCCCCCGGGAATGACAATACAGAAAATGTATGAGCTGTATAGCCAAGAAACCGAAAAACCTGTAAGCATGTCATACTACAAAAAAATATTTTAAAAACGATTTAATTTGAAATTAAGACACTAAAAAAAATACCTGTAATACGTGTGATAAGTTGAAGATACAAATTGATAATGAAATAGACCCAAAAAAAAGAAATCTCCCAAAACAATTATACCAATCACCTGCAAGATGCAGAAAATACTCAACATTTAAGAAGACATGACTTTCAGTTGGATAAGGAAAATGAAAATTCCTTACATTCGATTTAGAGAAAACATTACCTTTACCAAGAATACCGACAAATATTGTATTTCATGAAAGGCAGCTCTGGATATACAACTGTGGTATTCACAACGGAAATCAAGATCAGGAAATCTGCTACGTCTGGGCTGAAGGCGTTGCAGGAAGAGGGGCTCAAGAGGTAGGTTTTTGCCTTCTTAAACATATCACATATGTTTAAGAAGGATGCGTCCAACATCTCATTCTCTGGAGTGATTCATGTGGCGGTCAAAACCGGAATATTAAGTTAACTCTTATGTTAAAACCTATCTTACATGAATCGTCTACTTTGACTGCTTTTACTTTAAAATTTTGATGTTCAGGCCACAGTTTTTTACCCAATGACTCAGATTTTGCTGAAATTGAGTTGGTATAAAAAAACCAGCAAAGATTGTATTTGCCCTCCGAATATTTGAAGTTAATGAAACAATGTCGAAAAAAACACCTTTTGTGGCAACGGAAATGAACAACTGTGTTTTTTGGAGTGTCAATATGATTAAAAAAAAAAAAAAAAAATCGTCAACAGAAAAACAAGCTTCGACGGACAAAAAATAAACTGGCTAAAAATAAGATCAATTATGTTAAAAAAAGATGAACCATTCTTGCTGACTGTTCAGCACGATTCGTTTGACGCACCTGCACATAAGATTGATATTAAAAAGAAAGAAGGAAGGAACAGTAGAATAAGTAAAATAGAAGGGCTTTTTTTAATGAGTACGCTATAGCCCAATTGTAAGATGATTGCTGCAAAAAAACTTGCAAATCTGAAAGAGATGATGCACCTTATCCCATCAGACTGCCAAGATTTCTACAAAAAAAAATACAAGGAGATGACAACATTGTGAACATTGAGGAAGATATCGATGGGTATAACATAGCTAGTCGTGATTTTGAACTTGAAGATGTTTAATAGATTTTTTTTTCAATAGATGATTTTTTTTTGTATAGATTTTCCGAATTTTATTTTTTCTTAATAATACATAATAACGGAGAAAGCAATCAACCCAAAAAAAATGGCTGTATTTTTTAAAATATTGAAAAAAATACGTCGATCGGATAGCCAAGCGGACTGGGCGGCTGGCTTCTCATTTGCTTCACTGCGAGAGATGGCAGTTCAATCCCCAGCTCGGTGTACAGAAAACAAAAAGGCTAACGGAGCAGTTTATAATTCTAAATGAATCTGCGGCTTAGTCTAGAATATGCTGGTATCTGATCGACCTATGGTGGAGCAGTACGGCAAGAGATAAGGGCTTGCGGCTCGGTGATACTCCTCCATAGATCCTTACCGGAAGGGCGTGTGCCGTCTAAATACCGTATATATATATATATATATATATATATATATATATATATATAAGAAAATACGTTTCTTTTACTTTCACTGTGTTAAAAATAAGATTTTTTAGCCAGATAAAAATAAAAAATTAAATTTTTTAATTAAGCTCTAATATATATTATTAATTTACTGTTAAAAAAACAAATATTATCGATTTACTCAAAACTTTACTTTTGAGGGTTGGTAGCTTTCTACATTCTTCTTCTTCTTTAAGTGCCGTCTCCTTTAAGAAGGTTGGCTATCATCACGGCTATCTTCACCTTTGACACTGCTGCTCTAAACAGCTCAACAGAGTTACAATTGTACCACTGCCTCAAATTGTTTAGCCAGGATACACGTCGTCGGCCTATGCTTCTTCTGCCCAGTATCTTTCCCTGTATAATGATCTGCAGCAACTCATATCTCTCACCTCTCATGACATGACCCAGATACTGCAATTTTCTTATTTTAATTGTATTTAATATCTCCTTTTCCTTGTTCATTCTTTTTAAAACGTCGTTGTTCGTAACCTTATCGATCCAACTTATTTTTAAAATTCTTCTATAAGCCCACATCTCAAACGCTTCTATTCTGTTACTTATATCTTTTTTAAGCGTCCAAGCCTCCATTCCATATAATAACACAGAAAATAACTTTCTACATAACTACGTCCAATTAAACATCTGAGCCGGACGCAGATTTGTTGTAAAATCATGGTCCAATTACCCCATCTTACCCCATTTTTATAAAAATTAAAGCATTATGTATTCGTAAGTATGAAAATATCCAAAATAATTTACTTTCTTTGGTCTCCTACTCCTTCGTATCGTGTCATCAAATTTTCATTAACGTTTTATAATGCTTATCTCAAACTTTTACCACATTACGTAAAATTTTGGAACGTAGATTCAAAATCTCATATTAACGCATTGCAAATAATCTCTCAACATTACGAAACCGCAGAAGAACCAACCGCTTACAAGGCCAGAAGCACCGACGGGTTTTGGTTTTTCTGCGGATGGGACGGCATGGGGAGGTACCACCTACTCACCCGGCGCTACGTGCGTTGTTTACTTCTGGTAAATCCCGGTGTTACTTTTTACACACGTCTAACTAGATTATCCCCTCTTCGTCTTCGTTTATTGTCTGTTTATATTTGATGGTATATCTTAACGAATTTTATGCCAAATGGTGTGATAGTGCGGGAATAGTTGAATGGGAGGTGAGCGCGACGTGTGAAGGTGATAATTGGGATTTAATTTGTTCGAAAAGCGTTTAATTGGTGAGTAAATATTATAATTATCGTAATTTTATTTGTAAAAAATATTATTGTTATTATTTAAACATTTTTTAATTTTAAAATATTGCCGTTTAAAAGGAAATTCATATTCAAATATTATTATTTTTTATTTACTTAGCAAACTCCAGGTGAGATCTTCGGCTTAAATTTTTTAAATTTTTTTGTTTGCCTCCCCATCGTTTTGTATTTATCCTCGTTCCTTTACTCCTTGTCATTCCATGTTCCATTAACCTGTCTTCGTGATCAAACAAGCGTAATTGTTGTATACTATTTTTTTCGAATAAAAGTTTTCATCTTAATGTTGCCCGTAAGACCTCACTTTTTATTTATATTATACCATTCGTGCCCTTAATTTTTCTTTACGAGTATTAAGTTTTTTCCTCTGACAACAAATTCCTATACTTATTTACGAGTATACACCCTCGTTTTAATTTTTTTATTTTGTTAAATATTCAACGCATATTCATCCGCGTCTGGACATAGAATTCATTTACATTTTTCCACTGATTTCTGACATGTCCTTTACATATCTATTTTGTCTGTATTAGTTCGGAAATCATTTATCCATCTCTTCTGAGCTTTACCACTATATTTTTTCGACTGCCTTGATCTCTGCACTGTATATTACTGTGTGTCCCGTAGTGAAATCTTCAGTATTGCTCGCTTCATAGCTCTTTAATGTTCTCGCATAATATAAGTGGCGCAGTCTCTAAAAAGAGGCAACATACATCTATATCTACTCATTGGCAAGTTTCCAGTTATTCTTCAATATGTGTATGCAATATTTGTCTTCTTTTTGTCTTATATTGTGTCCGGCAAATCTCCATTTTTATTTTGCAACTTCTTGTCTAACATCCCTCACTTTTGTTTTCTCTCTTATCCACTCGTTTCTCTTTTTATCCATTAGTCATATGTGCAACATTTGTCTTTCCATTGCTCTTTGGGTTTTTATGATTTTGTCCATGTTTGCTTTTATAAATGTCCACGTTTGGGAACCATAAGTGAGAACAGGAAGTACGCATTGATTGTATACTTTGGTCTTAAGATGCTGTGGATATCTTTTGTTTTTAAGAATGTAACTTAGTTTGCCAAATGCCGCCCATGCCAGTCTTTCTTCTTCTTCATGTGCCTTGTCCGTTCCGAACGATGGCAATCAACATGGCTATTCTGACTTTGTTTACGGCAGATCTGAATAGTTCAGCAGATGACAATCCGAACCATTGCCGCAAGTTTTGGAGCCACGAGTGTCTTCTCCTCCCTGGACCCCTTCTGCTGTCTATTTTCCCTTGAACGATCAGCTGTAGTACTCTATATTTATTATGTCTCATAACGTGACCCAAGTATTAGAACTTTCTTTTCTTTATACTTATTCCTACCTCTCTCTCTTTACCTATCCAGCGTAGTACCTCTTCGTTGGTCACGTGCTCAGTCCAGGATATATGTAATATACGTCGGTAAGCCCACATTTCGACGGCCTCTACTTTTTTCATCAATGTTGCGGTCATTGTCCACGCCTCCATTCCATATAACAAAACCGGTAATACTTAACATTTCAGAAGTCGAATTTTGAGAGGTAGGGTGAGGATTTTAGAGGTTAAAATTTGCTTCATGCTAGTGAACGATGCTCTTGCCTTTTCTAATCTTATACGTATTTCCTTCGCTTGATCCCAATTTGAGTTTTATTTTAAGTTAAAGGTCCATAAAGGGCCCATAAAGTTGTATTTTATGGGCCAAATTTAACCAAACAAGAAAAAAATTGTAAAAACAGATAAATTACAGGATTTTTTAAATACCTTTCAAACGAACATTGGTCAATTACAATCCATTTAGCCGACTTAAAGATACAGCTATTTAAAAATAGCCAGTTTTTCGAAAATAGTATTTTTTATAATTGGTAAACTGATAGTACCTTCTTCTGACAATCCTAAATTGCATAAAAATTGTATACAATAATGTCTATATATCGAATTTCTTGGCCCGGGCCTTCAACTATTTCTTTGACCGCCTAAAAATTGAGCTTGAACCCTTTTATCTTATATTTGAAGACCTATGTCACTGAGCCCAGTGGACCGATTTTAACTCACAAGATCTCATTTTTTTTTGTTATAATGCCAAACGAGTATTAGTAAATTAAAGTCTTTTTAATAGCTTTAAAGATACAGCTGTATAAAAATGATCAGTTTTTCGAAAATTGCATTTTTATCGTTTGTAACTGATAGTGCTTTTCCTGACAATCTCAAATTGCATAAAAATTAAGATGAAGGTAGTTCTATATGTATAGAATAATGTCTACTTGTTTTATTTTTTGACACGAACCTGTACCTATTTTTTTTTACCGACTAACTAAAATTGAGCGTTTTGCTTCTTAAGTAAGCCAACACATTTGGTCGTTAATGATTTCTCTCATCTGTTTGATTATTCTGCAGTATCAAAATTCAACGAATTGTTAAAATAAATAACAAAACCTAAATTTTAATCGCTTAAGGTTGATGGCGGACATTAATTCTCAGAATTGGTAAATCTTAAACAAAAAATTACAACAGGATTACTTAAAGAAAACGCCCTTGCAAGACAATCAACCACTTTTAATCGAAAATTAAAATCAAAAAACAAAATGGGGCACATTTAAAAAAAAGCTGAAAAAATTTCTTTTTTTTACCAATTTTTGCATCCCAAAATGGTCGTCTTGTAAGGCCCTTTCTTTCTATGTAATTCCGTTGTAATTTTTTGTTACCAATATACCAATCTTGAGAGTTTAACTAAAACGTCCTTTAGAAAACTCTCTAGAAAAAAAGAATGGAAAAGAAAAGTATTTTTGAAGCGTGTAAAGAATTATTTTTTAGCTGAAAGCTTGCGGCTTACAAAGCCCTTATCAGAGCTATGATCAAGTTTTTAAAAACTTAGATTACCTACTTAGGAGATATTCCATTTTGGTGAAAGTAGTGGTACTTTTTAAAAACTTGACTCTAGCTTTGACGATGGCTTTACAAGCTGAAAGGGCTCAGTTATTAAATAATTGTTTACACACTTCTAAAATACTTCTCTTTCCCATTCTTTGATCTATCATAAGTGTGTACAAAAACATATCAGTCTTTTGATTTGTTTTTTTTAGGAGTACTATGATCAATTCAGATGCTCTTAAATCATTTAATATTTTTTGTTTGTAGTAAAAAACGTATTTATAATACAGAACCATAAACAATTTAGATAAAATTAGTAACGACTAATAAATCAAGTCCTCAATAACTGATATTTTTTGATAAATTAGTATTTCATAAAAAAAATATTAACTAGTTTGGGGAGTCACAATATTTGTCGAATAATTATATGTTTAGAATCAGGTAGCACAATGGTACTAAACCATTTATCTAATGAAGAAATAATACTTTCGTAATGATGAACATATTGCAAACTAGAAATAATTCTAGACTCTTTTTTTATATTTATTTACACTATAACCACAAGGGTTATTAGCGACCCAAAAAATATAATACAGTTAAAGTTAGAAAAAATTACAACAATTGATACAGTCCTGAGTCTTTAAGAAAACTTATTGTGTTTTTAATGTTCATGATTTTTCCTAAGGCTTCCTTTATATTATTTGGGATAGTGTGCTTCTTTCTTGTTGCTTCATATGTTTTGCACTGAGTTGGTATATGCTTCACGGAGAGTGTTACTAGACAATTTTCACATATTGGCGGCACAGTTCGCGTAAAGAGGTGTTTATGTGTAAAGTTACTGTGTCCTATAAACGTGTTATTCTCACTTGATCGTGTCTATTCGCTGTGGGTTTGAGCCACGGTTTCACTAATTGTTTGTTTTCCTTGAGTTTATTTTGTGATGCACTCTACTTATTTTTCCACCCACTTAACACTTTATATTTTATTTCTGACTTGAAGTCATCTGAAGAAACCTCATTAATAAGAATGGAGTCCTAACCGAAGGATGCTAAGCGGGCTAGTTTATCTGCTTCTTCATTTCCTTGTATACCTGAATGTGATAGAACAAACATGAAGTCAACAGTGATCTTATTATTATTTAGAATCTCTTTTTCTGATTGGATATGTGAGGATTCTTCTTCTTCAAGTGCCATCTTCGTTCCGAAGGTTGGCGATCATCAGGACTATACATATTTTCGAAACTGCTGACCGAAACAATTCGTTGTTGCTACAGCTATACCATTCCCGTAGATTCTTTAGCCAGGAGTTTTGTCTTCTTCCTATGGACCTTTTTCCTGCTATTTTCCCTTGCATAATTATTCAAAGCAGTTTATATCTTTCGCCACTTGTAATGTGTCCCAAGTATTGCAGTTTTCGTTTTTGTGACTCTCGACCTCGACATTTGTGACTCTCTCGGTCCATGATATTCTCAGGATTCTGCTATACATCCACAGTTCAAATGCCTCTAATCTTTTGGTATTCATCTTTTTCAACGTCCATGACTCCATTTCGTAGAACAGCACAGAAAGTACGTAACATCTCATCAGGCGAAGTTTCATTTCAAGGCTCAAATCTCTCACGCAGAACACTCTCTGCATTTTAGTGAATATGGATCTGGCTTTTTCTATTCTTATTTTGATTTCTGCTGAGCTATCGTTGTCTTCATTTATAAAAGTGCCTAAATATTTGTATTTGCTAACTCGATCAATAATTTCATTGTGTAAATATAAATTTTGGACATTTTGTGTTGATTTCGATATGACCATAAATTTAGTTTTCTTTATGTTCAAAAATAGTCCATATTCTTCGCTGCAGTCTGCTATCTTATTCACCAATGTCTGTAGCTCTTCAAGTGTTTCTGCGATCAGAACGGTGTCGCCGGCAAATCTCAGATTGTTTAATCTAACACCATTTATTTTATTACCTACGGATTGCTCAGGGAGTGTTCTATTCATTACGTCTTCGGAATAGAGATTAAATAGGGTTGGTGACAGTATACACCCTTGTCTCACACCTCGCTTTATTTCAATTTATTCAGTGATA